CTTTCCCCGCCCGCCCCCCCCTTCCCTTTCTCCACCACCTGCCAGTCGCTCTGAGTGGTGGGCGGGTATGCCACCTCTCTCTCAGAAATTTCGGATGGTGGTCCCCACCAGAGTTGAGCTGAGTATTCAAACTACATACGAACCATCATCCGAAATTTCAGATGCATGAGCATCGTATGTTCGCAGAATGTTCGCAGAATGCTCTCTCCTACTTACAGTTATTGCCCGCGTGCATGTGTTTGCGTCTCTACCAAGAACGATCACCAACTGTACTCCAAAGTCCTAAACTCTCTACCTTCCTTCACTTTCAACCGTCGATCTAAACAATGATTGGCTTCGCTTCATCATCATCATCATCCCCATCACCGTCCCACGCAGTCCAATCATTAACAGTTGGGAACTCCTCTATGCGAGAATAGGCCAACAGGGTTAAACGAAACACTAACGAAGACAGGGTAAATCAATCCAAGACAGTAATCAATTCCAAGAGAGGGTAATCAATCAAAGAAAAAGAGGGCAATCAGCCAAAGAAAAAAAAAGGTAATCAAAGAAAAAGGGTAATCAATCGCAATAACTGGGCAATCAATCAATGAAAGAGGGTAATCGATCGCAACAACAGGGTAAGCAATCAAGAAAAAGGATAATCATAATCAAAGAAAAGAGGGAAATCAATCAAAGAAAAGAGGGTAATCAATCAAAGAAAAAGAGGGCAATCAGCCAAAGAAAAAAAAAGGTAATCAAAGAAAAAGGGTAATCAATCGCAATAACTGGGCAATCAATCAATGAAAGAGGGTAATCGATCGCAACAACAGGGTAAGCAATCAAGAAAAAGGATAATCATAATCAAAGAAAAGAGGGAAATCAATCAAAGAAAAGAGGGTAATCAATCAAAGAAAAGAAGGTAATCAATCAAATTTCAAACAGAGTAATCAATCAATGAAGAGCAGCAGAACTGCCTACCTCCCTTCTCACAACGTCAACCATCGATTTGAACACTGGGCTTCGCTTCGTCCCACGGACCGTTGATCGAGTGTTTGTACTTCTGTATGCGTATCAGCCAGTAGGGGCAAACGAGACTGACGAACAGGATGACCAAGAGGAAGACAACGGTCACCACACGACTTAACGGAAGGAGCAAGGCGGTCGACGCAACAATCATGAGGATAGAGATCTTGAGGTGCACGTCGGTGGAGAAGAGACGGACATGGTGTCGAATTATAGGGAACAAGATAAAGAACTCGAGAGCGAATAAGATGAGCGCGAAGACGTGCACGTGCGACGGAAGCCTCGAAGCAATCAACACAGACGAGATAATGGAAGCGTTCAATGACACATTACCTGAGAACTTCGACGTGACGGTGTTGGAATAACTGTAATCATGAAAGAACAAATGAATGAAGACAAGGATAATGGAGGTAGCCCATACAGTGTCATGGCTAATAGAGCTCGTGAGGGTTTGTAAGATGGGAGAGAGGACATATACCCCAACAATTAACAGAAAGCAATCAAACACATGTCGTTGAAGGACACCCTGGAATTTTCTGTAGAACGCCTCACTTTGAAGCAACGCATACAAACTCTTCACCATCGTTCGCCGAAACCCTAATCCATCCCCACCCCCACTCGCACCCCCACGCTTCTCAAACCCGCCGCCGCCGCCTCGACCACGCCCGCCCTCACGTACACCACCACTCAACTCGCATTTCCTAATCAACCCTATCACCGCAGCCCTCCCCCTCTTCTTAGAATAAGAAGAAGCAGAAGAAGCACACGAAGAAGAAGAAGAAGAAGAAGAAGAAGAAGAAGAAGAAGAAGAAGTGATCCTGGCCCCGCCGGTGCTATGATGCCCACCAAAAATCGCCTCAAAAGGTTCAGAAGCTTCGTTCCGGCCAATGCATTTTTGCTTTGCGGATCCGCCGCCGCGGCCGCTGCCGCGGCGGCCGTCAACGTTCCCCGTTGAAACAGAGTCTGATCCCGATCCCGATCCCAACCCATTACTTAGCGCATATCTAGCGCCAGCAGGAAGAGGAGGAGGGGGGAGAGGGCGAGGGCCTGTATGGGGGCCACTGGTCGACGGCACCGCAACTTGTGTTGCAGCGGTCCCGTCGTGCACCCGCCAGCTTTCCCTGTCCACGTCCTCCTCCAACCCTTTGCCATCAGACAACGCACGACGAGGAGGAGGAGGAGGAGGAGGAGGAGGAAGAGAAGGGGAAGGTCTTGCTTCTCGTTCATCACAGACATCACCTCGCGCAATGGAGAAAGCTCCTTTCCACCTCTTCTTGCTCCCCTCAGGGATCCCAACTTCACATGGCCTTCTCTGTGAACAACCGTTGTTTTCAACACGTCGGGATCCCCTAGCTTGGCCCCCGACCCGCGAAGCACTTGACGTCGGGCCAAGCGCGAGACTGCCGGCACTTTGCTGCGCGCGCGCCGCCGTGACCGCGCTCCCGCCCTCGCCGCCACGATCCACTCCTTTCCCCCCTTTCATATTCCGCTGTTGGCGATGCCCATGCTGGTACTCCTTCCCCCCGTCCACGACCCCCCCCTCCTCCTCCTCCTCCTCCGCCTCCTCCTCATCCTCCTTTCTCTGCCAACAATAGCAATCCCTACTCTCCTCCCCCCTGTGCGTAACATTCGCGTTTGACTGCTCTCCCCCTCCTCCCCCCTCCTGCCCCGGTCCACTCTGCTCTATCATTCCTGCACACTGCAGCCTGCCGCAAGTCTGACATGACAGCGTGGAGGGAATTGCATCCAGCACCAGCAGAACCGTAAATCCGGCGGCCAGGAGCGCCGCATCTATCAGCAGCAGCAGACTAGCGTTCAAATCCTCGTTAAGCGTGTAACAAGATACGGTGCCCACTAAAGCAACGGTGCAGATCTGCTGAGAGACAACTGCAGACTCCCTCACCACCGTCCAATAATCGCGCTTCACGACATTGGCATTGGTCTTCAACGACGCCAGGAAGGAGCTGTCAGTGTAATTATCATCGTAAGGTTGGCGGGCATACAAGACCTTGCGCCACGTGGCTTTCTGTCTGCTCGACTTAACTCCGACGGATCGTGGACAAGAACATAGCTTGCAGACCGACGCGTCTTCGCCGTCGAAAGGTGTTCCATCCCACGGACAAAACAGATGAGGATCTGTCATCGTGTAATCAGTGATCGTTCTCAGAACATTCCCTCCTTTTCCAAACCTCTTTCCGAACCTTCCGGTCCTTCGTTCCTTAGGGCAACCGCCCCTCCCTCCCTCCCTCCCTCTCGCCTCCCTATACTATCCTCAACCCCCTCCCCCTCTTACTCCCTCTGCAACCCTCTCTCTCCCCTCAATCCAGCCTCTTCTCCTCCTCCATCCCCTACCCTCACACCCCCCTCCTTACCTCTTCTCACTACCCTCCTTTCCCTACTTCCGGCTAATTCCCCACCCCGGTTAGTTCCGTCTCTCTACCACTACTGCCCTCCCTTCCACCCCCCTTCCCCCCCTCCTTCCCCCTCTTGCTCTTGCCTCCTCAACCAGCCTTCCGTCTTCCTCGCCTCCCTGGCCCTTCCTTACACCTCCCCAGCTAATCGTTGAAACCTAATCTCGCCCTCTGACATCTCCCACCCCCCCCCCCCCCCCCCCCCCCCCCCCCCCCTCCAAGGCTTCTTCTGCATGGTTAACGAAGGCCCTCCCTCCCTCCCTTCGACACTACCTCAGCACCATCCATCCCTCTCCTGCTTCTTCCCTCTGAACTGAACCCCTTTCGCGCCGCCGCCTTCTTTCACCACCGAGATCCCATCCTACTGGTAAACCTTGACCCCAAACGTATGTCCGCTGCTTCTTCCGTCTAAACCCCTTTCACGCCGACTGCATCTTTCACCAACGGGATCCCATCCTCCTGGTAAAAACCTTGATCCCAACCGTCTGTCCGCTGCTGTACCCCCAGGAGGGCGACTTCTCTCTACCTCTGGCGAAGGAAGAGATGGCCAGACGGCCCAGATCTAGAGCCAAGTACTACTAGCGCGCGCGCAATACCTTCTTGCTCTCCCGGCCGTTTGGCAAAAAAACGTCAAAATTCGAATTCTACCGGTACTGCACAACGACGCGCGATTGGATTGCTGAAACTTCGGCGCTCGCAGCTTTCTCATTCTCAGCTTCAACATCGTCGACTGAATTCATGTTAGACGCTACAATAATGATCATGCGTAATAACTTAGGCCATGCTCGCACTGAATATGGCCTTTTTTTGGGCACTGAATTTGAGCACGTAACCGTCAGAAGAGAGATTCAGAGGAGAAGTACAACGTGTGTGCGTATGCATGCCCTCTTTCCCGCTCTTTCTCAGGCACTACCTACACCACGACAAAGACCCCGCGCTCAGCATCCCCCTTGATATAAGCAACGTGTGCGTATGCCCTCTTTCCCCCTCTTTCCATTGATTGACTTGTGCTCATCATCCCCCTTTCCCGCTTTTCCTCCGGAAAATATCTGTTTACCGCTCTCTCTGAGGCACTATCTCTTTCCCGCCTGTCTCTCAGGCAGTGTCTCCAGGACGTGCTCGTCATTCCCTATATATACAGGGGATCTACTTGTCGAGCTTCTTTCTTCCCTTTGCTGCGTCGGCAGATACGAAGTAAGGACACAGAGAGGTCAACTCTCGCGAAGAGCAGCGGTATTCACCGTACATCTCCTGAAACATGAAGCGTGAAACGTGAAACGACCACGACCACGGTTCAAGGTTCAAGGTTTGGCTATGGCGGCAACGATGCTACTCTCCTCCATCGCTCCGTTGGGGGGGGGGAGGGGGAAGGTTTGCCAAATGCTTCGCGCCGCGGCTGGTTCGTTGGACAATACAGCAGACCGTGAATTGCTGGTGCACAACGGGAACAACCATGCTTTTCGTCCGTTCGCCCTTTTCACCACGACGGACTTCAGATATATATAGTATCGAACTGACCGGCCGATGATATATAGTGTCGAACTGACCGGCCCCAGGTAAGGCAGAACCGTTTCATGTCATTCATGTTGTTATAAATTAAAGGATGATTTGCAAAATACCCCCATACGTTGAGATATATGCCAAAATACCCGTGAAAGATGTGGGTAGAGCGGAATGCCCTTTTGGGCCGAAATGGGGTATATTGCAAAGATGGATGTCCACCGATGCCAGGGGTATTTCCCAAAACACATTATTGTCAGAGGGTCATTCCGCTCTACCCACATCTTTTAGGGGCATTTTGGCATATATCTCAACTTATGGGGGTATTTCGCAAATTATTCCATGAATTGAAAAAGAAAAAGAAAAAAAGATTTCATGTCATTCAACCAGTGAATTTGGACTCGAAGTCAGGTCTGCAATTCACCAATTGCATTTACATGGGTGTACCAGCTGCGATAGGCTCCACCTTGGAACCGCCCAAGCTCGGCGTGCCCGATGTGGTCTTGTTACTCTTGTACCATACAGAAGATGTCCACAAGGGAAAATCACCCCAAGCGCGCCTGAGGCCCTTGCTGCATTGTCTACCGCATAGCCGCGGGGAACGCAACCCTAAGGTAGCCAAAGCAATGAGACAACAAGCGCGCGCGAGAGAGAGAGAGAAAAAGAGTTTTGTTCCATTTGTTGATATGAGTGTGAGAGAGAGACAGAGAGTGAGAGAGAGAGAGAAAGAGAGAGAGAGAGAGGGAGACGGGGGGGCTTACCACAGAGAGAGAGAGAGAGAGAGAGAGAGAGTTTTGTTCCATTTATTATTATGAGTGTGTGTGTGTGTGTGTGTGTGTGTGTGTGTGTGTGTGTG